CCACTTTGGCCAGTGTGCTGTGGAAGAGCTAAGTTGCGCTACTCAGGGACCACTTTGGCCAGTGTGCTGTGGAAGAGCTAAATTGCGCTACTCAGGGACCACTTTGGCCAGTGTGCTATGGAAGATCTAAGTTGGGCTACCCAGGGACCACTTTGGTGAGTGTGCTGTGGAAGAGCTAAGTTGGGCTACTCAGGGACCACTTTGGCCAGTGTGCTGTGGAAGAGCTACTTTGGGCTACTCAGGGACCACTTTGGTGAGTGTGCTGTGCCACTTCGGCCAATGTGCTATGGAAGAGCTAAGTTGCGCTACTCAGGGACCACTTTGGCCAGTGTGTTGTGGAAGAGCTAAGTTGGGCTACCGGGCGTGCTGAAGTCCAAAGTTCTAAAAATCTAACAACCCCACAGTCCTACGGGTGGGGAAAAATCTGAGCATCCACACGCAAGTTGTGAAGTGCTCTGCCAGCAGCTTCGCCCGCGCCAACGGCAACAGCCGCCACCGAAAAAAAAACCGGCTTGATAAGTACATTACAACTCTACAACTATCCTGGGATCACTTCGGCAAATGTGCTGTGGAAGAGCTAAGTTGCGCTACTCAGGGATCACTCTGGCCAGTGTGCTGTGGAAGAGCTAAGTTGCGCTACTCAGGGATCACTTTGGCCAGTGTGCTGTGGAAGAGCGAAGTTGCGCTACTCAGGGATCACTTTGGCCAGTGTGCTGTGGAAGAGCTACGTTGCGCTACTCAGGGATCACTTTGGCCAGTGTGCTGTGGAAGAGCTAAGTTACGCTACTCAGGGATCACTTTGGCCAGTGTGGTGTGGAAGAGCTAAGTTGCGCTACTCAGGGATCACTTTGGCCAGTGTGCTGTGGAAGAGCTAAGTTGCGCTACTCAGGGGTCACTTTGGCCAGTGTGCTGTGGAAGAGCTAAGTTGGGCTACCGGGCGTACTGAAGTCCAAAGTTCTAAAAATCTAACAACCCCACAGTCCTACGGGTGGGGAACAATGCAGATGTGCTAGTGCTGGTTAGCCGCGTTCTCAACCTGTCGGATTTAAGAGTTGAAAGGGTACAACAGCAACAGCAAAAACATGCAAAAACTACTTTTCCTTTTGCATGCTTCGGAGCTGCCTTCCGATCGTGCGCAGCTACCGTCTCCAGGCAGTGTGGAGCTCACGTTTGTCCGTGACATTCCGCGACAATCGGAACTTTCGCTAATTTTGTGTTTACGACATCGGATGACTTAAGGCCGTGTGGTACTAGTAGCATGGTGCATCGCTACTAGGAGCAGGGACGCTACTAGTAGCTCCTGGCATTACTACTAGGAACAAGAAGCTACTAGTAACAAGGGCATCGCTACTAGTAACAAGGGCATTACTACTAGCTTCACAGGTCACCTGATTCCATTGATTGGACCTGCCAAGCAAACACCGACCAATTCCCACACCAGGCGCCCTCCGCTTCACTGGTGAGGCCGCCGTGCTTGGACTGGTTAGACCCTCAGTGAGTCTTTGACTTGCGTCCGAAGGATCACAAACAAGTCCAGGCCTCCAGCGGAGAGCTTTGGCAACCATGACAGCTGTTTGACAGCCAAACGAATCTATAAAGGGCTGTGTTCCATTGTGTTCCCGGGTGTCGAGACCTATTTTGGTCTCAGCGGCGCTTGGGTGCTGATGGTTTGAGAGGTCCGTGGCTGAGGTTGAACCCGTCCCGACCCCTAGCTGTGGCGGCCCGGGAGCCTAGGCCTAGTCACTTGTCCAGCTGGCTGGCTTTGTTTGGCCTTATTGTTTGCTGTTGTGCTGTGGTCTGTGTTTGGTTTGTTTGTTCGGATGTCTATCAAACAGTGCTTATTGTGTGTATTGCACGTGATACCACATGAATCCGTATAGCCATGGTTTAAGATAGAGACCATGCTGATGGAACATTTGGTCTTTGGATCGCAAGAGAATCAGCAGTTGATGATCTTGCTCCATCGTTGCTTGACACATTCAGTATTGTTCAGTTCACGGGCATATCAAACCATATCAGAGTTGACTCTCTTTGAAGCACCCCTTGGAGTCGAGCTGAGCTCCGAGACTCTCCGAGACTCTCCGAGACTCTCCGAGACTCTCCGAG